ACAATCACCTAGTCTGATACGAGACGGAACCGCGCTTCCGTTCACAGCTCACGCTACCTCTCCCACGATCACCATGCCCCGCGTCAAAGCCATAACGACAGGCTCCATACCCTCCTTCGTAGACGTAATTCTAAACTTCGCCGAATCAGACACGACGTCCACCCTCGCGACGCAAGACACCTGGCTCGCGCAAATCAAGGCGAAGGACTATGACGATGGGAAAGGAAAGCTGATCATGTACGGCGATGACACCTGGCTGAAGCTCTTCCCGAATGTGTTTGAGCGCGCCGATGGCACAAGCAGCTTCTTTGTATCGGTCAGTCATAAGCTCTCCGCTGTATGTAGGAGTAATAGATTGTTGATTCTCAAGTGTAGGATTTCACGGAGGTTGATAATAATGTGACGAGGCATGTTCCTAATGAGTTGCTGAACAGTGACTGGAATGCTATGATTATGCATTATCTGGGCTTGGATCATATTGGGCATAAGGCTGGTCCTAAAAGGTGCACCATACGGGTGTCTCTCGATTGGCTATGGAATGCTAACCTTTTCACAGCCCAAACATGGTCCCTAAGCAAATCGAGATGGATGGCATCGTTCGCGACATCTACGCAGCTATCGAGAACGAAGACCACCTCTCCAATACTCTCCTCGTACTCTGCGGCGATCACGGCATGAACGACGGCGGCAACCACGGTGGCTCATCGCCAGGCGAGACCTCTCCCGCACTCGTCTTCATGAGCCCGAAGCTCAGCAAAGTCACTGAAGCGGCTGACAAGCGGAGTCCCATCAGACCGAAGAACGAAGGAGAGTTCGAGTACTACCGCTTGGTTGAACAGAGCGACATTGCCCCGACACTTGCAGGTCTGCTTGGATTTCCTGTCCCACAGAACAATCTCGGTGTCTTCTTGAAGGAGTTCCTAGGATTCTGGGATAATCCGTCGGACCGCATGCAGCTTCTCTACCGCAATGCTAAGCAGATGAAGAAGATTGTCGAAGCCAAGTACACCAGCCTACGATTCGATGAGCAGCCATTGACGGAAGGCGATCTGGGGTTCACATGCTTCCAACCTGGGGAAAGCCGCTCGCATCTATCTGACGGCCAGTTGCTAGCATGCCTCTGGCAATCGGCTGTCGGTGCGATCAGCGGTGGTGCCGACTTCCAAGAGAACGTCTACGAATTCATGCACGAAGCCCAGGAGATGATGTCCAGCACAGCCTCAAACTACAACGTCACTCGCCTCTTCCTCGGAACCGGTCTAGCTTTCCTCATCTGCGCGCTGAGCTATTCCGCACTCCCTGCTTTCCGACCTGCCACACCAGCTGGCATCTACTACGGCTTCGCCCTCGTACTGTACGCTGTCCTCATGTTTGCATCCTCATACGTAGAAGAAGAGCACAATTTCTGGTACTGGGCCACGTCCGGCTGGTTCCTATGCCTCTTCTTCAACAACATGCGGAAGGAATGGTACAATAACTGGATCTTCCATCCTGCCATCATGGCACTGGCCATACACAGGATTGTCAGACGTTGGAACCAGACTGGGCAGAAGTACGCTGGCGCCGATGACATTGTCAACAGTGGGCTCTTTCACGGGAACTCGTCCGTCATACTCTGGATTCTCATCGGCGCTACGTACATGGATGTCACCATCCGTATAGCCAGACATGTTGCGCGTTCTATTGCGACGTTCGACGGCGAACAGAAGATGCACAGTGTGGAGATTGAGTCCACGGATCAGAATCGCATGTTTGGAACTATTGCTGTACTACCGCTTTGCGGCACGGCGTTGATCTTCAAACTCGCCTTTACCGTCAAAGACGCACCCGAGATGACCTACGGCCTTAGCGCAGGCTTGGTAGAGATGGTCGAGACGTTGGAGCTCGTAGGCCTTGCGCGCATGGTATTCGGAGGTCTACTTCTCAGCGGAGTCTGGATTACCTTCGCCGAGTGGACACGATCGCAGCGGAGAAAGAGACGAGGAAAGCAAGGCAACGGCGGTACGTCACCACTCCTCCTACATGAAATCGAACAGACTTACTAACAGCACCCCAGAACTCGCCGTCGCCTTCTTCGACCTAACAACGCTCTTCCTGCTCACGCAGACAAAAGCACAAAACATACCCCTCTACTTCCTTTTCCGACTCCAATACTTCTTCCTCAGTAAGCCACTCCATCTCGTCTTCACACCACCCAACAACCCCGTCTACCTAAACATCACGCGCTAACCCCCAACCCCACACAGCCCTGCTGGACCTCACCCCCACAGCCGCAACCCTAACAACCCTCCTCCTAACCCAAACCTCCTTCTTCGCCCTCGGAAACAGCAACTCCATCTCCTCCATCGACCTCTCGAACTCTTACAACGGTATCTCGGGTTACAACGTGCTCGCCGTCGGTGTACTGGTGTTCCTGTCGAACTGGGCGGGACCTGTCTATTGGTCTTTGGCGGGTATACTCCTGCTGGGATCTCACGGTCGCACGCAACGCTATATTGATACTAGTGAGCTGCATGTTGCGGATTGGGTGGCGAAGGAAAGGGAGTGGTTGAATGAGCTGGCGCGGAAGGAGGAGAAGGGACGGGAGACGAGGAAAGAGGGGAAGGAGTGGGTGGGGCATGTTGCTTTGTTGACGTTCTGGACGGGGGGTATGCTGGGCGCTGTTATGCTGGCTTGTACGGTGTTGAGGCAGCATCTTTTCATTTGGACGGTGTTTAGTCCCAAGTTCTTGTTCGCGATGGCTTGGGGCATCGCGTGGCATGGTGGTGTCACGCTGGGGCTTGGGGGGCTGGTTTGGTGGTTGGGAAGTTGGTAGTATGATTGTTCAGTTATGGATGTGGTCGGGCGCCTACATCAGCGCAACGGCTTACTCTTGAGGGCCTCCTGGCTCGTTGTCGTCTTCCCACTCATCATCGTTCTCCTCCGCATCGTTATCTTCCCCCTCGTCTTCTCTAGGCTCCGCTCTCTCCTCACTTCCCGGCCTTACCGTCCATCCAAGCGGACTCTGCACTTCCTCTTCCTCCCTTCGCTTCTCTTTTGCTTTCCTTGATTCTGATCTATGTCTCCTGTCATCCTCGCTCCACCTAATGCCCACCCTGTGACGCGCTCTCTGCCAAGCCTTCCTCGCCTGTTCTACGTAATCCGCCTTGTCCTTGAAATACATAAGGTTGAAGTTGACTCCAAACTCCGAAAATTCACGCGGATCGTACTGCGACAAGTCCAGTGTGAGCTTCTCGCCACAGTATGCGCATTTCGTGAACGACACAGTTGAGGGTTCGTATGCGGGAATACGAACTGGGCCGGTTGGTCTGACACCCGTATTAGCATTGTAGTTTCCGAACGACTTTTTGGGGGTTGCTGTCCGACGTTGAAAAAGTATACGTACGCGGTAGATGGACCAGCAGTACCCACACGTGGATCCTCTGGATCAGGCATAGGTGTTGTTGTCTCGGCTCCCCTCTCATTCAGTCGACCGCAATACTCGCATCGCCACCTATCCTGCATTTTCCCCGCCTCTGCGCTGGAGATCTTCCGTTCACTGGGCTCCTTCTTCAAGTACGCGTCCTCACGCCATGTATCCGCCACAGGGTTGCGAGGTATACCGTGCCCTCGTTTCTGGGTAGGTGAGTCCGGGTCGTGGTAGTCCGGCAGTGATGATTTGGGAGATCGCGCCCTATCATGGCTGGGGTCGTGCTCGATTTGATCCGGGAGCGTAGAGCTGCGTCTTGGGGGCGGGGGAGTGGGTTGGCGTGGTTGAGTGGATGTGAGTTCGGCGGGTGTCATGGCAGCGAGCCCGGATGAGATGGATGACGTACGGCGGCGCGTGTTGGCGCTGTGGATATAGGTTAGCTGTCATGTTGAGCCAATAGGTGAGTGAGATGGGCAGAAGACTGCTGGGGATGGCCAGATACTTACGCAGCGCTCTCCACTTCATCCACGCTCCTGCGCGGGAACTGTTGCTCACTGATGCTTGTCTCATGATCTCCGTCGCTGCGAGGCGGATACATTAGCGGCATGTAAGCAGACAGATTACCCCATATTGGGACATGGAGGATTTTAAGGTCACTCACCTCGCCTCGCCGTCTATGTCGTCGTCTGAGTCCTCTGATGAATCGACCCAGTCGTCGGAGTTTGCATCGCTCATGATGGCGTACTTCGCGGAGCGGGTTGTAGAAAGGAGGACTGTGAGAGCGCAATTGCGAGTAAGTCATGTTGGGTGATGTGGTTCGCGACTGCCATCGGATATGCCGCACGGTTGTTGTTGTTTGCTGCTGGGTGTATGGGAAGGTGCGATAAAGCTGACAGAAAGCAGCGCTGGAAGTTGATTCTGAAGGTGACATCGACTCTACGTCACAATTGCAACAGCATAGCGACAATGTAGGCTTTAGGGTAGCTTTCGATGTGAGAGACAAGGTTCATCACATTCAATCTCTTTCGTATTATGGTATGCGAAAACGCTGTGCCTTCTTGCCGCCTGCCGAGTAGTAGTGCTAGAGAAGGTGCATGTCAGCCCAGGGGCATCCGTGTTTGACCCAGTAGAACGACGTCACATTAAACAACACTCGATGACCTTGAAATCATCTTACAAAGTCTATCGTGAACCTTTTAATTTCATGGTAAGCATTTGCAGTTGGTTTGAAAGACTTCAAATAAACTAAAGTCTTGGTGCTCGTGTATATAGCCTCTCTCAATGCCGAGATCCGTTCTCACACCAGCTGCAGCCCAGAATCTTTCGAAAACTCTCGACCAGTCGTGTCTCTAGCCCTATCCTCGCGACCTGTCCGTAACAACATCCTTCAATGTCGTTGTGCAAGGCTGGTTGTTGGGCATGCCTTTACACTGATTTCCATTATCCGGTGAGTTTTCATACCGACAGGTTGGGCATGTCACCCTGCGCGATGCTCTAGCAAGCTCTTCAGTAGTCATTTCTTCGGGTTCCAAGTTTTTGTTCTTGGTGGAATAATAAACGTCACCCCAGTTTCGGTTCGTAACAGGGTCCTTCATCTGCGCTTCGTGCCGATCATTCCTGTAGGACTCGCCGTGGTCGGTTTCTCCAATTCTTTGCCACTGGGCTTCTTCTGGCTCGCGGGCAACCATTGGGGTGATAAGGCTTGATTTGGGCTGACTAAGCTGCATGTCAGTATTGTCATTCGGGGAGGGAACAGGATTCTAACGCGTTCTCCTTGATCTGCTCATTCGTCAACTTCCGTACCATAACCTCGTCTGGTGCTTCCTCCCGGCTAGAGCTGGCCTCGGGATGCGTGTTTCTGTGAGATTGGCCGGACATGTTCGGTTAATATCGATTAATGTCTTTAAACAAATTGCTGGGTGAGTAGGTATGGAGATTAAGTCTGCAGTAAGGTTGTGGGCTTGTTTGATGTAAAATCTACATGCCAACATCTCCCAACCTTTTATACTCTGCATGAGTCGTAGGCTTTTGCCAGCTTGTGAGTCGCTCGTCTGCTATGCATCATGTTTCTTACTCATTCTCGCTCGGTATATGTTCTCAGAGTCTTAACGTATACGCGTATACTGGCGATGACTGCGAAGAAATCGGGTCAGAGAACGGTCCTAAGACGTCGGAAGGCAGCGCCGTGTAAGTCATGTTGACTGACGGCTTTATCAACTAAAGAGAATCTAGTCAGCACGTAGTTAGCAGATAGCAGACGAATATATAAGGACCAAGACTCATGCAACAGCACGGGTCTTCCTCACTAGCGTGAGCGGCCCGCACTACGTACAATTTCCGAGCTGTTACCAGTATGACAGCCTCAGACGCAACTCATAGTATTTGTTGTAACGTGGCTAGTTGTTTCTGGATGACTGTAGTGACTCTGATAACGAGTGGTAGTGTTGTTGATGATGTTCAGGTATGTTCTGGCGTCTGAGCTTTCGAAGGACCAAACGTGATGTGACTACCTAGTGTTGGATGTGTAACATCGTACCAACAATATGGTCATGACATCTCCTAGACATCTGTGACTCAGCGTATTAAGACGACTATTGCTCAAGCAAGACTGTGTAGAATGGCCACCGGTCACAAAGGATAGGGCAGCTCGGACACATACAGGTATGACGATGATCTTGTCAAATCTTGCATCCAGCTCTTATCGCTAGCTAGACCTACACTGATGTCCGACATCGGCGCACTTTCGATACCTTAAAGTCTATCGTCATCGCTTTGTCATGAGCTATCACTGCTCAACCGCACGTAGGTTTGACTCTGACCGTCTTTGCTCCGCTTCGTTAGCTGATCAAAACTCATCGTCCCGTCGTCTGCGTTCATGGTCCCGGGCAGGTGGGTGACGATTAGCACCCGCACCTGCATTTGCGCCACCTCCGCCTCCACCGCCCCTCCAATTAAGAGGGTTGAGCATCCCGCCGAAAGCGACGGCTAGTGGCGGTGGTGCTGGTGCTGGGGCTTGTGGTGCCGGCGCTACATGAGGAACGTTCACATGAGCGTGTGCGGGAGCTTCCACCGGCGCATCGAGACGAGCATCTGCTTCGGCGATAAGGCGGTTGATCTGCGCAAGAGTCAAGTCTTCAGGAAGCCAATTGCCAGGATCGACAGCAACGTGAACTCGCGCATGCGGGCAGTCGTCGAGGTGCCGAATGTCCTTGGTGTACTCAACGAGACACACCCAACAGAAGTTGTGGCCGCACTGCTCACCTGGAAATGTACGTTAGTATCGCATATCATGGCTTATTTGTGAGCTCATTCGAGACTTACATGTCATATGATCGCATCCACCGTGCTTCTGGATGTTCATACCGCACTTCGGGCATGGCTTGGCTCCCATAGTCTTGACAGCCCTCTTGGACAAGTCGTCCTCCGCCTTCTTCGCCTGGTCACACCCGCCTTTCCCATGCGACGTCCATGGGCGATTGCACTTCAAGCAAATTTCGTGTTCGCAGTAGGGGCAGGCGACCCGCTGCTTGCTGCTTTTGGTGTTCTTGCAGTCTTCGATGGAGAAGTATCGGCCGCACTTGGCAGAAAGACAGGCGATGTATGATTCGCCACTAGATAAAGCGTGCTTTGTGACGGCTTTATCGTAGCTGAATTGGGTTAACATATTGATCAATAGTGTTGTTGGTGAATGACTTACTCTTCGAAAGCTGCCTTACTGACTATGGCCTGAAGAGCTGCATAGTCTAACAAGTAGTCGCATTTGCCGACCGGACAACTCAGCTCTGCGTCCTTAAGCTGACGATCGGCGACCTTTGTCTTGAGCATCCTTGCGACACATAAGTTGCAGATAGTCTGAAGATGTTCGCAAGCATCACTAGGGGCCTTGAAGGATCTAGACGTGTCCTTTGTTGTTGCGCATATTGAGCACTCTTGCTTCTTCGGTCGCTCCTTTTCCTTCGGTGTCGGAAGCTTCTTGCGTGTCTTCGGCTCTGCTTTTGGTTTAACAACAGCACCAGCCTTGACACGAGCGACAGCTTTGGAGTCCTTCTCAAGAGAGGCCTCTGGTGCTTCAGGTGAGATAGCTCTAGTTTTCTTGCGGACAGGAAGCCTACGACCGCGCTTTCTGCCGGATGTGGTAGGAGCAGGCGAGGTTCGGGAGCCGGCTTCGGGCTCTGGGGTCTCTTCGATACGAACAGGGTTATTGCGGGTACCTATCGGGCCAGAGGGCTCAGCATAGTTGACACGGCGGTCCGGCCTAGCTCGTAGTCGGGTTGAAGGGGCCATTTTAGCTGTTCGTTAATGCTAGCGGTGATTAGTATACGATGTAGTGCCAAATGTTCGGTCAGAAGGTTCTCTTATACGCCCGATGGCGTGTTCCCGAACCCCGCAGTAAAGTCAAGAACCTTTCTAGGCTACTGTAACGGTAGAGCATGTATAAGTCGATAACAAACGGGCAATGAAGGCGTGTTGGTCTCGGCGAGTGCGCAAACGCACGTTTACCTCGGTTGGTAGAAGAAAGTCGTAACTGGTGTTCCAATAGTGAGAGAAGTCGCAACGTCGGGTGGTAGAGAAGGAAAGATATGGGATGGAAGGCCGATAGAACACTGGTAAAGGTCCATCTCGGTCCGGGCACTCAAACCATTACGGTCGACGCGAAGACCATCGTGGATGGGCATCTCGTAACGATTCGTATACATTTATAATCTAAAGTGCGTCGTCAATTGTCGCCTTTTGAGAAAGAAGCTCCACGTCCACCATTTGGCTATATCGACAGTCTCTCCGTAGTGCAAGCTGGTTGAGAGGGGCTTTTCGGTAGCTAAACTTCTCTACGCGTGTTGTCAGCGTGTCGTTGGATGGTTTGTGTGAACGCGCAACTTCACGCTGCGCCTGATAGAGGTGAAAGGAGGTTAGGGAAGCGCATGACGTAGCGATATTAGCGTGTTCGGAACATCCCGACCCGGCAGCACATCGCGTCCACGGGTGTCGCGCGATTCTGATTCCACAACACCATTCGCGCTCTCACGAGCCACTCGAACCTCGCACGCGTCAATATATCGCATATGCCCAGCGCCTGGGTCAAACAAATCGCTCAATACCGGAATCTCGATCGCGCCGTAGCACGACCACCGAGTCGCCGTACGAATGCGTCGACAGGTAACCCGAAGCTCATACATTGGCTGTACACATGTGGACAAGACAAAAAGCGCCTGGACAGCCAATTCGTCATTACAAGAGTCGCTTTATTCGTTATACATATGTGCAGGGTGCCTGCTTTCGATCGTACACGGCCATGAAAATCAAGCTGCTGTGGACGTCGGCATTCGCTATATCTCGTATCTTGCTCGGAATCCGTCTATTATGTTGAATTGACGCTGATAGTCTCAAACTCAGTACTCCTTTGCAAGCACTCGGTTGTTTCTTTTCGGTCAAACGACTGTTCGCATCGCGACTTCTCGGTGCTTTCGTCTTCGACTACCACCTACTCGCACGCGCTCTACCTCTTGTACTGCTTCAATGACGGTGACGGTCTCATAACCCGCAATACCAACGCCTCTGGCACCTCTACCTCGACCTGACAGTTTCCTTCGCTCTTTGACTGTATCAAGGTAGCTGCCCAGCGCGCGAAGTGGCATACATGGACGATGGAGGTTCCGGAAACGCGACCACTTTGTCCCACATCTCCGAGACCAATGATAATCATCTTCTGGGTTGGAGATATAGTGGAAGCCCTGAAGATCTGGCGCCACTCTTCAAGGCGGGACTCTATGAGACCGCCAAATCCAGCCCCCGCTAGATCAGGCACTGTGTATCCTCCTTCATTCATGTCTCGTCCGCATTTGATTGAAATGTCATGTCTTCCCGGTTTCGGCAATTCTGAAAGTATCCCCAACGGCGCCGATAAATCGACGTAGATCTTGCTCGGTGTTGAGATCTTTCCGACGATAGTCCCTGCTGATGTTGTAGAAGGACTTCCAGCCGTTTTCGGCATGAGTGAAGCTAGACTCTCTGGCGATTTCGCTTTCACCTCACATCTCCTGGTAATAGTGGATATGATCTCTTTCCGAATTGCTTTGGAACAGCAAAGAAGTGGCCAAGGCTTCGTGTTGCATATCGGTACTGCATAGATTACGGGGCTGTCGAAAACGTACAGCCATATCTCTTCTCGGAGTTCCAGCGGCAATACAGCGAAGTCATCCAAACTATCCTGAAGCGTTGTTGAGTCCAGAGCTAATGATATTCGGTCCATGTCGTTGTGCGGAGAACCCACTGTCGCAGAGTACGTCCCATTGATATGGAGAGAAGGGGTAAAGGGTTATAGTAGGAGCCTGACAGACTAACAGCTTAGTGAGTCTTGTAACCATGGTTATTGATTCTGCCCTAGGTTCCACTTAAATTTTGGTTGCAAACAAGTCTGCCGCTCCGTTCGCTCGCCAATGTTCATGCAGCAATGTCAACCACGGTACATGAGCAGGCCCTGCAAATGTCATCCATGGGCCAACCTCAATTCTACACGCACATTCTGATGTATAGCAGTTGCCGCATCGAATGGCAGGTTATTCGCAGCATCATTGCGCGATCGGGAGCTGACATGTATGAAGAGGGTCGGTATGACGCGATTGGTGGAGTGTGTTTGTTTCTCGTCCAATGATGATCATCATTCATGTTGGGTGGCTGATTACGGTCACCGGACCTTGGCAGCGCAGTGCCTCTCCTTCCCCACCATCTTAGCTGACCGCGATGCCTAGGTATACGCGACATTTTACTGCACCGCACTCGCTGATAGGAAGCTCTCTGCGAAACCATCATTGATCCGGCGCGTCAGGTGACGTTCATCAACTACCTCCACCAAATGCGTCTTCTGCAGATCAACAACGATGACGACCTCAGCCTCGTCGAATATTTTGGAACCGACATTCCTCCATATGCCATTCTATCGCACACATGGGGTGCTGACGACGAGGAGATCTCATTCAAGGACGTCAAAAAGAACCGTGCACGAAGCAAACCTTCCGCGTATCGCAAAGTTCGCTTTTGTGGAGAGATAGCTCGGAGAAACGGCATCTTTTTCTTCTGGGTCGATACATGCTGCATCAAACAGGAGAGTAGCCAGGAGGTCGGTGAGGCGATCAACTCCATGTATCGATGGTACCACGATGCGGTCATTTGTTACGTGTATCTTACCGATGTTACCGTTGGAACCGTCACGCATGAGGGCATAGCGTCTGTCTCAGATTGGTCCACAGCCTTCCGAAGCAGCAGGTGGTTTACTCGGGGCTGGACACTCCAGGAACTCCTTGCGCCTGTGTCTATCGAATTCTACTCTAAGGACGGTTATCGACTGGGGGATCGGACCACACTCGTCCAACAGATTCAAATGAGCACCGGTATTCCTGAGGCTGCTCTACGCGGAAGCCCGCTGTCAAATTTCACAGTTGAAGAACGAATTTCGTGGGCACGGGAACGCATCACTAAGCGGGAAGAGGATGCAGCATACTCGTTGCTTGGGCTTTTTGGTATTCATATGCCCCTCATATATGGAGAAGGACGGAGGAATGCGCTGAAAAGATTGCAGAGAGAGATCGTTAGAGCTTCGAGGGAAGAGCCGCTTTCCCCAATGCTGAGTTTGTCCTCTGTAGTCCATTTGAGCGCCACAAACTCGCACCTGAGTGGTATCACGACTGCGGATGAGTCGAATCCTATCGGTCACTCTGGAATCAGTAATACAAGCAGCAAGAATTCTTTGCATCAGGCCCCAACGATGCATGCAGCTTTGACAGCGGTTCAATTCATATTCAGAATCGACGAGACCAGACAGCAATCCATTTTGGAGGCGGGCTACTGTCCGAGGATCATACGCGTCAATGGGGGTGTTACCGGAAGATGGTGGAAGTGTGGGTCACATATACGTGAGATACCAGAGCCGCGTAGTGCATGGAGGATGTTCAGCACTGCTTCTATCTACTACGACGATGGTAAAGGACTTTCTGTAGCGGAAGGTGGTAAGACAATCCCTCCACGTTGCAGAGCGTTCCACTACATCGTAGTGCGATCTCCGTCACCCAGATCTTCTAGTACCATGATCATCTTCCCTTCGTTTTGCGATTATCACACTAACCCTTTTCGATACAGATGCACCGACATTCGGCCCTGGAGAAGGGCAGTGGAATAGTCTCAGCTTCCAACACAATGAAGACTACTCGTCCAGTCTCAGTCTAGATGGGACACACCCAACATTGAGGTGCCAACGGCGTGACTCCGGCTGGCCTGAAGCTATGTTGCCCGACATTTACCATGGCCCTTCGACGCCGTACCAACAATATGGCAGCCTGAGGGGGGATCTTTCTATCTTTCTTGCGCTTATGGCTCTTTCAGTCAAACCCGACATGCTCGCATCATTGATGCCATACCTGCGACATGACGCCAAATGGCAATGCCGTGAAGACTACCCAAACGGAAGTATGTACGAAAGCATTGCCACTAGCTATAAGTGGCTAACAGCAATCTAGGACTTGACAAGCGTGGTGTGGTCGTGTACGTGTACTGTGGCACGGAACCGGGTAGCACGTCCGAAGATCTTCAAGCGTATGAGGCCGGGCGATATGGAAACTATTTCGATTAAGGATATTAGGGGTCTATACTTCCAGTCATTTCCAACAGAGCTTTCGTGGTGTTTCCACTATCATGAACGCTCATCCACGCCAAGGGCGTCCACGTATGGTGGTCATGCAGCAGACCTCCTCTTCCTCGCCAAATATCGGGGGTGTGGGTGGGAGAAGAGAAGTATGCTTTCTAAATGCCAGCAAGGTCAAGAGCTGGTTCTCGTCTATGGTGAAAGTCGCATGACCCCAACACGGTGCCCATGCCTCCGCACGACTATTAAGATATCTAGGTAGTCAATCTTCCAAGGTTTCTACCAGTGCAGCGGAAATTTGGCCACTCTCCCAAGTTGCAAGACTTATCACATCACAGACGCTTTCTTCGTCGCCTAGCTTTCATCTTAGTACTCACGGATGTATTTTTATCGATCCTAAGTACCACAAGTGAAATGCTACATACCCGTGGACAGATTCTTGCTTGGAAGAGTTTTCGCATAGATGATTCGACAGTTACGAAGCGCAAGGCTGAAGAGTCAGGCAGCAACACTCGGAAGAGCTCGCCTACGCTAGAAATTGCAGTGCAAATCCCAATACAGATAACGCATGGGTATAACAATGCGCTCCCCCGTTGATTGGACGATCCCGGTAAACCCCACCTCAAACATGACGTCCTTCGAGATGACGAGGAAGGCGCCATTGAGTGGCTGTGCAGGCACAGCCACGCTCCGTACATCTCATCCACGCTAAGAATTGCAGTGCACTTCGCGTTGAGATGGTAAGCCCAAAGTTTCAGGCTCTCACTGCTGACACGGGATGAAAGCACAGCTTGTGTGCGCTAGAGAATGCAGTGCATCAGATGTCGATTGGTGTGACATGCGTCGAGGCGCTTCGCTGACAGGTCGGCTCGTTCACGCTAGAGATTGCAGTGCAACAAATGGACCGAGCCGCTTCGAAGCCGAAACGAGCGAATGGCTCGCCCAGGAAACGCGTCCAGATACCAGCCATGCGCAACATGTAACATGTATTGTCAGACCGGACGGGATTGGACAAACAGGGTGGTCCTCAGTACCAACGCTTTCACTTGTGTATTCTGTTCCCCAAATTACCGACTAACGAAGTCATGAAGCGCGCTACATGTGCTGATGACCATGAAGCCACCTCGCAACAACTACGTCCTAGCAACCTAGGAAGGAACTGAACAGATACGCTGCAGTCTGCATCAACACAAAATGAAGGAATTAGAAAATCTCAAGGAAATGGAGACTTTAAGCTTGTTCACCACTGTCATCTATCACAAGGACGCGTGGTTCAGAATTGCCCTTCGCATTCGGGTAATATAATATGGGAAGAAGAAGAATTCAACGCCTACACCATACCCATAATAACGCCTATCCAGATGTAGCCCATCCGGGCCTGACCCACCCATGTCTCATTCTAAGCATAAAAACTCCTTGACCCCCATTCCCATACCGTACATCCTGTGTATACATCCACCTTATACAAGAGAAAAACTGCACAGGTCTGCAGACTACATTGACCCAAGACCTTGCAATGTAGGTGACCCAACGCCAACGTAGGCTCCAGGCTGTTCAGTTTTTCCCTAGTTTGGCGTGCATTGCTGAACGAGAGTAAAGCCCTTACGAGACTAGGCGGCATAGTACAGCTTGATAGAGCTCAAGACCCGCTTCCTGCACACAGGGCAAGTCTGCACTTCCCGTGCGCACGGCAGACAAGCAACCACATGACCGCAGTCATAGAAGGCAGCTTCGGCGTCACCTTCCCAGCAAATCCTGCAGAGTTTCTCCGACTCTTGTGCATTCTTCCAGTGCGTAACACCTTCGCCGAACTTCTTGTCGTTCTGCCACCCGCCTACATATGTGTTGCCACTGGCGGCCTCGACGTAAGTTCCGGTACCGTGTTGCTGGTTGTCGACCCAGTCACCATCGTAAGTGTCGCCGTTCTGGAAGGTGTATAGACCATGGCCGTAGCGTTGGCCTAGGCGGAGGGAGCCGCTATATGTAGCTCCAGAGTGGTATACTCTAGTACCATGGCCATGAGGATAGCCATTCACAACTTCGCCTTTGTAGTACTCGCTCGAGAAATAGTCGTAGGTAAAGTGGCCTTGTAACTTGTGTGGGAAGTTGCGAGCGAAAGCGCGGAACTGGAGGTAGGATTGAGGGTCTGCAAGGGCAGCGCGAGCGGCGAGTTCGTTGCGTTTCTCAGCCGAGAGCGGTAACGAAACGATGATGATACACGCGTTGTGTAGATCCACTTGCGTAAAGGTACGGCGATGCTTCAGTGATCGCGTGTTAGTCAGCTCGTCCTCCTCCCACATCTCCATCTTCTTCTTGTCTTCCGTTGGAATTTCAAGCAATGCCACGATCGTGTCATCCAATCTAGCAGACTTAAGTGTAGTATGCGATCCACGAGCTTCTAGGGCTTGCTTTTCCGCGTTCCAGAATTTGAGAAAGAAATAAATCTCATCTGGAGGTGGTTCAGGAGTGGGGTTGCGCACTGGTGGGGGTGGTTGTAGAGGTTCTGCAGGTGTATCAACCGGGGGAGGTGGAGGTGGTGGCAGCAGCATATCCTCTTGTGTGCCACCCATCTCAGTGTCGCTAGGACCTGCACCTGGGATTACAACATCAACAGCCGGTGGATCAACGGCGGGAGTTGACTCCACTTCCAGCATAGCAGTATCGTTGCGTTGTTCTGAAGGTGCAATAGCGGGCTCATCAGGGTCGCTCATAGGCGTATCCTCCGAATGTGAAGTCATCTGCGGTAGTGGTGGTGGCGGCGGGGTACTGGAAGGCTCGATTACGGTCTCGACAACTTGGATGATATCTGCAGCAACTTCACCCGTCTGGAGCGATGAAGCCTCTGGAGCCTCTTTCTCCTCTTTCGGGAGCTCAGGCAGCTTCTCGAAGTCGGTGACGTGTACCCAGATGCTCCGGTAATCTGGCGACTCTAGAGTCCATTCCTTCGCATCTATGTGCGGGCTGTAGCTACCGGCTGAAAACTCAATGAGTCCGGTACCGAGGAGGTTCGGTCGGTCCAGGGATCCTTGCGTGGGATCTAGAAACCAAAACTTTATCTGTCGTGGGTCCTTGACGTTCTTCAAAAGGCCAAACAACTTTTGGCGAATTTCTTTGCATCCATCGTTGCTTGATAGCGTCAATGTGTGGATGAGCTCTGAACCTTCCCACTTCGCATCAAAGAAGTCGAATATACCTGGACCTTCGTGCTCTAGGTATACTCGTGAATCGACTACGCGAAAATCGAGTGTCTTGGGTGGCTGCGCTGTGACCTTCTCTGCCTTCTCTTCATCTGTCGCAGAGTTCGGCTCATGCGTTGGTAATGATGGCATTGGAGGAAGAGAAGATTGATTCTTCTTGGCCTCTACTTCCAGCTTGAGCCACTCCGGGACATCCCATTGCTCGGATTTGGCGTCTGAGTCGAATACCGACTGAGCTACATCGTCTCGCACATACATGGCAATGTATGCCACGGCGTCGTTGCCAGTAATCTGAGTACTACTGGGCTTGCCTTCATGCGCATCGACTGCCTCGCGCTTGGGAAGGCACTTAACTTGGCTCTCGTCCTTGCTATCACTGTAGATATACCATCGTGAACCAGGGCCCTCGGGTCGAAGTATAGGCTGGTATATATAGGACTGAAGTGTTTGCTTATGCACAACAAACCCATACAGTGTGTAGGGAGTGTCACCAACTGATATCCGGTCGTCAAGAGTCACTTTGTTCAGTACCTTGATGTGCGAACGCGTCTTCGCGCTGTCGAATTTGTGCCGGTCCAGCTCGATTGTCAACAACTCCGGCAGAGGCTGCCCAGGTATAGTGAAATCAGCCGATTCGTTGACAGCGCGCTGCATACTTTCCACACCTTCCACAGGTACGCGGTAGCTGGGTCTCCCGATGGAATAGTCGCGCTTTGGTCCACATATAGCATTTAGCTGGGCGGCCTGAGGTGTCCCTTGAAGTTCTTCTTCGAGCTTTAGGCGCAAGACTTCCCAAGTCTCTATCACATCCAACTTGTGGAGGCCATCGTGTATGCGGTACCACTCTAGTGCATCCAGAATGCCATCAAGGGCGACTGGACCAGCTCCAGGCTCGACTTGAGTGCGAAGCGAGTATAGGACTTGCTGTAAAGCGTTGATGAGTGGCTTCGGTCGAGTGAAAGGCTCCTTGCTAGGGTCCGCAACGACGATACTGTACAACAAGTTTCGAAAGGGCTTGAACAGCATCCACGAGGCAATCGCAGACATCATGTTCCCGCCGGGTGAAAGCATGAGAGCTTGCAGGCCCGTCATTGCGAAACTATCCCACGGATTCTCACGAATGGGATGCTCCCATAAACAATCCGTCTGGTCTTCCACGACCCGAATGTAGGCAGTGAAGGCAAGTTTGTCGTCACGAAGAAGCGCCATGCGCTGACCATGCTGACGACGAGAAATATCGTAGTGCGGTCCGTGGAAACGAGTCCAGCCCCAATCCGGAGATCCATTGCAGAAGCGATGTAGAGCATTCCGCGAGTAGTTCACGCGAGGCTCTGTTGGGTTGTAGAGAACGACCGATATCTGCGCGGCAACGCTATTCCGCTTAGGCATTTGTTTCGATCCAAGAAGCGGAAGAGGCGAATGTTGAGAGACGACTGGTGCGGTTGGTGCCTGGACGTTTTCCGACTTCTTGCTTTCACTGCGCTCTTGTGTAGACGGCTCATGCTGAAGCGACACGCCTGTCGGGTCGTCTGCTGGCGCATGTTCGGACATTACCATACCTTCGTCTGCCTTCTTCTCTCCACTTGGATCAGAGGCCTCTTCGCTGGGCATGTCTTTGCGCACGTCACTATCATTGTCGTCCTTCGAGTCCTGAACGCTCAGGCATTCGAGATAGACGCTTAGATAATCTGAATCATTCCCCTTAGGATAAAACTTGATCTGCCATTGGTGGCCCCCAACCGTGACGACATCAGACTTCATAAGCACTTCATGGTTCGGCTTTTCTTGGGT